TAAAAAAAGAAAGAGCTACAAACATAAACTTCTGCCGACAAAAAATCGCACAGATGCAGGTCTGAAGCCCAAAGAAAAAACCCCGATACGAGTAACTAACAAAAGAGCTCAATACAATCGTAGAGCAAACCTAGATACATGGCTCACTAGGTGTGTGTATATATATGTATATATATATATATATATATATTTAAAAATCGTGATAATTACCTTTACAGAATAAAACTCGTAAATAAAAGCTAGTGCTCCTAATGCAGTAACGATGACGCATTCCTACTACGCTACCGATAACTACATCGTAATAAAAATAACTAAATAAAACTCCATAGCCTAAATTTAATAAACTTCATTCCAAGTAACAAAATTGAGGAACATGCACAAAAAAAGTAAAAGTATACAAGACTAATAAACAAATGAAATATACCAATAAATAAACAGTATAGAGGCCTTAACCGTTAATCTTAATTAAAGGAAGTTGCAACAGTTGGTTTACTGCTTCCTCTACTACCACCAATCTTCGAAAGATCTATATATGGATCCCACTAATGGAGTAGTGATACACTTGGTCTGAAGACCGTACTGAAGCGTGAAAATGACAGTCTCCATACAGTCTTCATTCCTATGTTCCCATTGTCATATATATTTAAATATTATTGTAAAAAGATATAACAACTTTACCAAGCTGCCGCTTGTTATATTACGGTAGTTTCGTATGGTTGCTATATCTTTTTACAATAATATTTATAAATATTGCTCTGCAGACTAGGTCTTGAGAAATTTTTAAAATCTACTCTAATTGGCAGATTTTGAGGTAGATTTTAACCCGTACTCCATTTATGCATGAAGGAATTATATAAAGTGTGTGTCGGGTTTCGACGAATTTTCGATTTAATTTCACCAATGGCACCATCTCTCCCAGAAACGCTAATACGACGTCAGTATTCATCATTAACCCTCTACGCTAAAACAAGATTGAAGGTAAGGTAGGGGGATGATGACGATGAATAAATAATTATAAATAAGTAAAAATAAATATAAATAAACATAAATAAAATATATGAATAAATAAATATAAATAAACATAAATAAAATATATGAATAAATAAATATAAATAAACATAAATAAAATATATGAATAAATAAATATAAATAAGCATAAATAAAATATATGAATAAATAAATAGATAAGAAAGTGTAAATAAGAACATCTTTTAAATAATATAAATATTAACATTTTTTGATTTTCACTTGAAATTATTTGAAATTTTGTAAGGTGAATAAAAATATGCTTTTACCTAGACTTTATGAATTTAAGCGAAATGCTAGATTGGCGGCAAAGTTTCATCATTTTTTACTTTGTCTTTGAATTTGGCTTTCTTCTATCACACTTCTCGCTTGTGGAACTCTCTTCCGGCTTCTAGCATCCCAGTCAACTTCGATTTTTAAAAATGTAAATGCAATGTCAATCGTTTTCCTGTGTCTTCTTAATTCTTGTTCTTTTATTCTTTCTCCTTAATATTTTTTCTTTTCTTTTTTTCATAATCTCTAACACTCGGTAAAATCTTGCGTCTTCGTGGCTATATTGCCTTGTTTGGGGTGAAATGATTTTTTTAAAAGTATGATAATTTTTTTAAATTTTTGGTTTGTTTGTAGGCGGAGTTTACTTTACAATGAATTTACATAGCGAACTCAATCCCCTCTTAAAATATAAAGATTTTTTAAAACAAAATCTGTAATCATTTCATGAATAGTAATATGATGAAAAAACAGATAAAAAATTATCATTTCTTGGAGAGATGCGTTTATCTAGAAATAGCTAAGATCTTTCACAGATAAGGGTTAGTTTTAAGAGTCTTAGAACCATCGAACCCAGTTTCTTCAATGACGGTGATGCATTCGCACGTACGCATGCGTTCTGGTTGCAAACAGCTTTATCATTTCTAAGTCTACATTATTTTTACACGAAGCGTGTTTGTGTTTTGAACTCTAGACGACCGTCTTGGCCTTTACCACATTCACACCTAGAGACATAATTTCGACTCGAAACTAGAGACGTAAAAGCTGGAAACTGAATGGAAATTTGAAAAAAAACTGTGGGAAATGTCTAGTTGAAAATCACGTCCTTGAAGAATGATTCAAAAACCAATCCTGAGCTCTCTGCCCCGGCTCCGCTGATCAAAGCAAGAATTCGTCTGACCCACACTCGACGCATACAATGATTAACAGTTTCAATGTTTGCACTTTTCCCAAGCAAGATCCGCTTTTACTTTAGATCCCCACCGTCAGGAAAAAAAATATGCTCGGTGTACTGACTTATATCGAACTTTTGTCGTCTTCTTTGTTGTTATAGACACAACATATCCAGTCTTATTAAGGCTAATCAAGAAGAAAAACGTGATGCTAGGTGTACCAGAAATAAAATATGAAAAAACAAACCGCCGATTTTAGTTTCTCTTTGTTTAACAGTCTGATATCAAAATGGAGAGAACCATTTTGGTCAGCATTGCTTGTCTTGCTCGGACATCTTTCAAACTTTAAATTCTACAAGAATCAAGCGGTACTAAGTTCCGTAACAGATCTGGACACTAGGATTGACTTATCCGCTCGTAAGAAATAGGGAAAAATGTTGGGTTTAATATTTGCAGATTAGCATAAAACATTCCCCAAACCACATTTGTCGGAATCGAAAAATGTATATATTTTTAATCAGTTTGGATGGGGATATTGTTCATAATATAAGTACAGTGTCAATTCGATCCCTGACTTTTTTATTTAAACCTTTTAAAATCCTTTTAGAAGAACTTGTTTCCTTTTAGGATTCACTTGCACAAATATTCTTCTATGTTCTGTGTCTCTTCACTATTCCTTATTGGTCCTAGCAGTTTTTTCTCCTTTCGCTAAGGCTTCCACCTCATGTTCCGCCATCCATTTACACAAGTTCGTCAGGTAAGTTGCTCGCTGCCATCTCCTATCTCTCTTGCCAGCAACATGCTTCGTGGGGGGGCGGTATTTTTTTCAATTCCTCTTTTCTCATTATGTGTCTAAAGAATTTTTTGCTGTCTTTTGAGAGAATAATTATTTATCTTAAATGAAGGACAAACCGTTATATACATTTTATTAATTTGTTTAAATTTGAAAATATTACGACGCGATATGCCAAAATGTACTTCATCAAACTACGAGAGAGAGAGAGATAAGGCAGGTGATGTGTGGAGATAGAGAATTGACATTTTGTAAATAAAAAAACAAGTACAGATAACTCTTAAAAATTCAAGTACCACAATCTTGGAAATCGAGAAGTCTTATCTGCTTGCTCCGAAAGGTAGTATTCGAAATGCTGACCCTTTGCCTAGTCTCTAAACCGACATTGTTGCTACTGCGATAGGTGAAAACAACCTGAGCTACTAATCAAGACCTTTTCCGACAATGATATATATATATTAAGCATTTCCCTCAAAGCAAGGCTGGGGTGCCACTAGTCCGCATGGGGCAACAGAAAGTAAGGGAAAAGACTTTGGAGTGAGGAAAAGATAAAAAAACGGAGAAGGATGAAAAGAAGAACGGGGATCAAGACATCAGAAGATGTCGATTAACATTACATTTAAATTTTTGAAGATTATAGTTATCAGGGAAGCAAGTAAGAGGAAGGGAGTTCCACTGTTGGGAAGTGCGAACGAAGAAGCTGTTAGAGTAGAAGAGGCGGTTAAATTTAACTGTTTCGACAGCAGATGGGTGGGACCAAGATGCCAACGTAGTAGCACGCTTAAATTCATGCAGTCGTGACGCCAGTGAAAATACTTTGTCAGAATAGTTGCCATGAAAGTATTTATAGAAAAAGAGGAAAACCACATTACGTCGGTGAGAATGTGAATGGAGTCGAGACCCCCAAGTCAGGACCGATCACATTGCATATCCGTCTTTGTTTTTGTCGAGAACCTCGAGATGAACAGCGGGGTCAACAATTCCATGCAGCAACTAATATATATATATATATATATATATATATATATATATATATATATATATATATATATATATATCATGGACTCTCTCCCATCGTTTTCGATGTATGGATCTCTTTCAGTTCAGTTTTAATCCTGTATCTGTCCCGTTGCCTAAACTCTTTCGCGAGTGGACTTGTTGCAGCAAAGAAACACAGAACTGAAGTGCAGACTATCCACGCAAAAGTTTTGTTTACAGTGATGAAGGCTTGTGTAGAAACAGCCACACTTCTTGCAAGTGCTGATAACATATATATATATATATAGGCGAGCAAAAAGAACTGTCAATTGTAAGAAGACAGAAAGTATGGTCATCAGCAAGAAATAAATGCCAATATGTGAACTACGAATTGGAGATATCAACATTAAACAAATACAGAAGTTTAAATATCTGGGAAGTGTTTTAATAGAGGATGGAAAATATGGCACCGAAATCCGAACGCGCATTAGACTAGCGAAAGATGCTAAACAAAGTATTAAGAAACAGGATTATTTTGTTAAAAACAAAGAAAAGAACTGTTGTGATATCAATCTTCCTATATGACAATGAATGCTGAACAATTTCCTCACAAATGAAGAGAAAACTGGAAGCAGCAGAAATAGGGTTCTACATAAGGATGCTGAGAATTCGATGGTTGGAGCGAGTAAGCAATGAGGAAATTTTTAAAGAAAATAACAAAAGAGAACATTTATTACTCGGAATTAGAAAGCGGCACCTTTGGAAAACTTAACGCTCAAAGGGCAATATTATGTGCAAGGGAAATAAATGAAGACAGACCAATTACCTGACGTTCTTGTGTGAATGGATTGCAGAATGTTGTGCGGGTGGCTTAACCAAAGGAGAAAACGGCTAAGGACCACTAGCGATAGAAAGTTGTGGAGAGTAATGTCCTGAAACATCTAGTCTGATGTCACTTCCGCCCCCCCCCTAAAAGAAAAGCATATATGAAGGCGAACTGAAAGAATTCGCCATTACTTTTTAGAGCACTGAAATCTTACATGACTGAAGGCGGTCTTCCAAATCGTTATGAGAAGTCTCGATTTCTTGTTCGTCTCACGTCTCTCTTCCCCTCTCTAACTATAGTCAACTTCCCGAATGAACTGGTGCTGCAACTGACAAAAAATACCATTTATTTTTATTATAATTGGTTGCCCGATACAAACTTGTATATACTTACAATAATGCATGCACACACACGCACACACGTGTGTGTAATAGAAAGAGAGAGAAAAAGATAATACCAATTTGTGACTGGTAGGGATAATTCTAAGATGGATATAATTTTTTAAAGAACTTTCGGTCTGAAAAGATGAATATAAAAATATTCACAAAATAAATTATAACTGAAATAGATCTTTAAGTTCTTTTTCTGGACTTGGAGATTAAACTGGACGAGTGTTTTCGCCATGTTTTAATTTTCTAGGTTCTTTTTTTTTATTCCCCATCTTTCTTCGGGTACCGATTTGTTCTACTGCAAGTTGAGCTATCCGAGGTTTAGTACCACCATTTATATATATATATATATAGACACACATACATACATACACCCCCCCCCACACATATATATAATGAATTAATAGTTTTAATTTTTAATCCGACATAATTTCTTATTACTCTAAACGTTATTTTAGTGTGCAGCCAAGTTTGTGTAGACGCCCAGCTTTTTCAAACAATGTGAATTACGACTCCCAACTTGCGCATTCCAAAGACTTTAATCAAGAAAATGCTCGTAATAATAACATTATTATTATTCTCCTTCTCCTCCTCCGCTTGCTTCTTCTTCTTCTCCGCCTCCTTTTTCTTCTTACATTATTTTAGCGAATACACATGTTGGAATAGATGCCCTATAATATATATATATATATATATATATATATATATATATTAAACAGTGAATTACATCAACTGGCTTGCGCATTGCACAGGCTCGATAAAGAAAGCGTTGAATGTTTCGAATGCGCATGTCGGTAGCTATAATTTAGACTCTTAAAAAAGGGAAAGAAACCGGACTCAAACATGGCTTAACACTAGAATAACGTTTTGAGTAAAGAGAAATAATGTCCAACTGAAAATAAAATCCATTAATTGCTAAGTCTTTCCTCACCCTTTTTCGAACCAATCTTAATTGTTTTATTACCCTTTACGCAGAACTTTTTCACTGCCAGTTCAGGGAAGACATTTGGGTGACAAACACATAAAAAAAGAGAATGTCTAATGTCGAAAAACATTAGACAAAATAAATTCCTTTTAATAACATCTGGAAATATCCACTTTTTGCCCGATGAAGGTCGCGAGAAACGCATGTAGCAAAATTAGAAAATGTATTTAGAAAAATATGTTTCTAAATACATATGGTGCGATGGGTAAATTTTCGCCATTTTATATTTTTAATTTCACGCATGCGCGTTGCTTTTAGATTTTGTCGACTGCACAGTATAGTAGGGTCAGTTGGACACCATCTGTGAGGAAAAGAGCACTATGACGCAGTTGACTCCTCCAGAAATTTGGAAAAGGCATGCTGTACTGCTTGGCATTTGTGCCGGTAGCTCCAATGTAAACATTTCAGAGTGTTTGAGTGTCAATCTGAGGACAGCGCAAAGTATTTGGAAAGAGTTGGATGTGTCTAATGGCGATTTCGAAGGTACGACAGCTCGAAAAATTCACTCTGTTTCTATAAAAAAGAACTCTCGAATTTGTTGGTGAGGGCCTTTAGACTCAACACGGAGGCCTACATCAAGAGCCTTGAAAAGATAATGTTGCCTTGGGTCAAGAGGCTGCCTGCTGAAAGACCCTATATCTGGAAACAGGACTCTGCACCATGCCTCATAAGCAGGAGAACCCAATCATGTCTGTCAGACAATTTCTGCGCCCACATAACCCCTTACATCTGGCCGCATAACTCCCTAGACTGCAACCCTCTTGATTATTATGTCTGAGGCGCAGTTGAGTCTTGTTTGAACATTGTGGACTGGCGCTACAGAATCACAAAGAAAGAATTGTACCAGATAACAGAAGACGCATCACTTGAGGATATTCAACAGCAGCAATAATTAAAATGGATAGCACATGTAATTCTAAGGGAACATAATGATATAATCAAAATGTCAGCGTTATTTTCATTTTTGTGTAATTTAGACGACAATTTATCCATTGCACCCAGTAATACATACATACATACATATAATGGCTGGTTACTCGTTTTCCTACTAGAATGGCAAGCTAGTCCCATTTGTAGACACCTGCTCAAGTACATTTGTTTTCCCTGAACACCTGAGCCTAGATGGTTTAATGGGCGAAGGACTAGCTTTTAAAATTCAATGCAGCCAAAACCAAACAAGTAACATTCCACCACCGCCGAGCAGACCCCGATCTTTCACTTATCTCGATGGACGCATTCTTCTCTTCAACGAGTCTCTTTACCTTGAAAGTCTATTGGGAGTCAAACTCTTCCCAAACCTTAAATGGAACTCTTATACGCGATCTATTGCTAAAGACGCTGGGAAAATGGTCGATTCCTTGTACCGCTCCAGTAATTATCTGACTTCCCACTTCTATACTCTGTCTTTACAAGAGACCAAAAGTGGATTAATGTTGTCATATTTGGGCGGAGTTCACTCCAAAAGCGTATCCGAGTCCTTGTGGGCGACAAATTATTTTTCTTTCTTTCTCTCTCTTTCTCTTTCTCTCTCTTTCTCTTTCTCTCTTTTCTCTTTCTCTCTTTCTTTTTCTCTTTCTCTCTTTCTTTTTCTCTTTCTCTCTTTCTTTTTCTCTTTCTTTCTCTCTCTCTTTCTCTCTCTCTCTCTCTCTCATACAGGTGGGATGTGACGAGCCTCTCTTTGCTCTTTCGTTACTTCCATGAAAAGTGCTCGGACGAAATGCATTCTTTGGTTCCGCCAGTCCTAACCTTCACGGCAAAGACCCGTCATGCCACTCACATAGTAGCAAAGCACCCACGGTGCAAAGCACCCTCAGTCGGAGAGCGTCTGAGCAGACTGATTTACCCAACCTGAAGGTATTTTTAACTGGGCCCCACCTATATCACACACATTTGGCTGTTCTGCATGTGTTTGGTATACTTGTAATGGTTTTGGGTGTCTGATAAATATATTAGGCTTCGTATATTTGTACCTTAACGTCATTTATTTTATTGTGCTTAACTCTCATTCACTAATAACAATAATAAGCTAGAAGACCATTATGATTGAAGACGACCAAACAAAAAAATAAACAGATTTTTTGTACATACGAGCCATTGCTAAAAATGATTGGAAAATGGTTGATTCCCTGTACCGCTACAGTAATTCTCTGACTTCGCCTTCAAGAGCCAGATCAGACAAAAAGTGGAGTATTGTTGTCATATTTGTGCTGGAGCTGCCCAGCCCTCATTTGACTGTCTTGATAGAGTTCAAAAGCATCTACGCGACCTTGTGGGTGATTAATTATTTTCCACTCTACAACTCGTTTCCAACTGACGAAACGTCCCGTATTTCACGCTGCTCTATTTATGTCGCATATATTCTGCTAAGCTAAATCCGCTTCTGTCCGCTTTGACTGACTGTCGACAGTCTGCTGCTCGAATGTTGGGTACTTTCAACCGAATTCTATGACCTTCCGTGCCGAACGGTCGAATGTCCGCTTTTACACGAATATACCATCATAAAACAAACTACTTAATTACACTTTTACTCACTTCTTTTTTTTTTTTACACTTTACATTTTTTCTTACATTTCTTACACCCCACAGTAATCATCTACCTTAAGTGGCTCTTGGGTCTTGTATAGGGTGAACATTAGTATAAAAGAATACATTTAACTGCAATTAGTCAAATCCAACCTTAGTTAATGTTTCTGTGAGAGATTTCATAATCTAACGTGATCAACAGTTTGAACACGGTTAGCACGCCCAAACCCTCGGTATCAATGACTGGTTACTTCGGGTTAGCGCAAACACCGTCGGCTTCCGAACGATTTCGTCTAATAACCAGGCTTGGATCAACTCGTTGTATGGTTTTAGGTACTTTATAGCCGTGTTATATATCTCTTTTGTATCAAGAATCACTTTTATGACAAGTCGAACATGGTGAGATTCGAACAGGGTCCCATGATCTGAATGCGATTGTTCTAATATTCTAATATATTATTCTAATATTTATCGAGCAGTCTTTCGTTTAAAGTCAGGGAAAAACTCTTAACTCTTTTAGTGACTGCCTCCTAGCGCGGAATACGTCATTCAATGTCGGTTTGAAACTTGTAAATGAATTTACCGAAATTGTGCCTAATTTCCTGAGGACTTTTAACCATCTTTAGTCATTTTCAAGGTAAGAAATTAGAAATCGAGAAATAATGAGTGAACTGTTTACTTTCTTACCAGTCCGCAGTTTGAAATACACGTGGATTTTCATGCTTTAGTAGTGGAATAAATTTTATTACCAGTGTGGGCTGAAATGAAAATAGAAATGAAAACCTTTTCAACTGTAAGGTATTCTCCAGCTTTCTTTAGATTTGGTTGTCCAAAAATATTTCGGATATAGATTATCATAACAACATGAACCATCTGAGGAGATTAGGTTCAAAGCTCAAAAATTGTGTCATTTCTACGGGCCGATGACCTAATGAATATAAGAATTGGTTAATTGTTGCTGGAATATTACAGTAATTCTGGTGAAGTGTCCAAAGATTTTTATGAAAAGATTGATACCGTGAAAAACAGAGGTGAAGAATAATAACTAAGCTTGATCTGGTCACATGTATTTAAGTAAACGTGTAATTAAATTGTCTGTTTTATGATGATATATTCGTATAAAAGCGGACATTCGACCGTTCGGCACGGAAGGTCAGAATTAGGAAATTCGCTTAAAAGTGCACAACATTCCAGCAGCAGACTGTCGACAGTCAGTCAGAGATGGCAGAAACGAATAGAACCGGGTTGAACTTAACGTCACGAAAAATGGGAGAATGAAGTTTCGCTTGTCTCCTACCCGCCAACCGTTGGTCAGACGATTTAACTGAAAGAATAAATGTCATCTCTTCTTCAACCTCGCATCTGTGACCAAAATTTCAAATAAAACGAGAGTTCAACAACTTAAAACTGAAGTTGTTCGAGTTGTATTTGGACGGTCCTGCCAGTAGTGCGCCTATCACCAGCCGACAAAAAAAAAGTATGAAGAGAAAGTATTTTATTATATTGGTCTCCTAAGTAAGAAAGGAAAGTAGTTTCTGAATTAGTTTTGCACTGTCGATTTTACTTTATTACAACCGCTGTTTTGTATAGCAATTCTATTTTCATAAGATTAGAAGGAGGTGGATTTGCCCATTAGGCAGCTTATTCAGCCTATTTTCCCAGTTGCAGTGTGTCCGTAAAGATGTAGGGCAGAGAGATATTGCAAGGGATATTTGATTTTGATGCTGTTTCATTCAGGTGCTCCATAAAACTTGCTTTCTTCCTCTCTTTATATTTACTCGCTTTCTTCCTCTCTTTATATTTACTCGCTTTCTTCCTCTCTTTATATTTACTCGCTTTCTTCCTCTCTTTATATTTACTCGATTTCTTCCTCTCTTTGCCTTTACTCGATTTCTTCCTCTCTTTGCCTTTACTCGATTTCTACCTCTCTTTGACTTTACTCACTTTCTCTTTTTCCTCTCGATTTCTTCCTCTTTCTCTTTTTTGCCTTTACTCGATTTCTTCCTCTCTTTACATTTTGCCTTTTCCTTTACATTTACTCTTTCTTTTTTTTTCCATTTCTCTTCGATTTACTCACATTTACTTTTTTCTCCTTTTCCTTTTTCTCTTTTTCTTTCCTCTCTTTACATTTACTCTTTCTCTTTTCCTCTCTTTACATTTACTCCTTTCTCTTTTCCTCTCTTTTTTCCTCTTTCTCTTTTCCTCTTTACTCTCCTTTCTTTTTTCTCTCATTTACATTTCTCTTTTCTCTCTTTTTCTTTTTTCCTCTTTCATTTACTCATTTCTTTTTCCTCTCTTTACATTTTCATTTCTCTTTTTTTCCTCTTTCTTTTTTTCTCTTTACATTTTACTTTCTCTTTTCTCTCTTTTTACTCCTTTCTCTTTACATTTACTCACTTTCTCTTTTTCCTCTCTTTACATTTACTCACTTTCTCTTTTTCCTCTCTTTACATTTACTCGCTTTCTTTTTTCCTCTCTTTACATTTACTCACTTTCTCTTTTTCCTCTCTTTACATTTACACTTTCTCTTTTTCCTCTCTTTACATTTACTCGCTTTCTTTTTTCCTCTCTTTACATTTTCATTTTCTCTTTTCCTCTCTTTCTTTACATTTCTTTCATTTTCTTTCTTTTTCCTCTCTTTACATTTACTCTTTTTTCCTCTCTTTACTCTTTCTTTTTCCTCTCTTTACATTTACTCACTTTCATTTTTTTTCTTCTTTTCCTCTCGCTTTCTTTTTTACATTTACATTTTCTCTTTTACATTTTTTTTTTTTACTACTTTCTTTACATTTACTCACTTTTCTTTTCCTCTCTTTACTCTTTCTTTTTTCTCTTTACATTTTTCTTTCTTTTTTCCTCTTTACATTTACTCATTTTCTCTTTTTCCTCTCTTTTTACATTTCTTTTTCCTCTCTTTTTTACTTTTCTCTCTCTTTACATTTTCTCTTTTCCTCTCTTTACATTTCTTTTTCTTTTTCCTCTCTTTACATTTTCCTCTCTTTACATTTACTCGCTTTCTCTTTTTCCTCTCTTTACATTTACTCGCTTTCTCTTTTCCTCTCTTTACATTTACTCACTTTCTCTTTTTCCTCTCTTTACATTTCTTTTTTTCTCTCCTTTCTTTTTCTTTCTCTTTTTTTCCTTTCTCTTTTCTCTTTACATTTACATTTACTTTTCTTTTTCCTTACATTTACATTTACTCTCTTTACTTTTTCTTTTCTCTCTTTACATTTACTCGCTTTCTCTTTTTCCTCTCTTTACATTTACTCGCTTTTTTTTTACTCATTTACTCCTTTCTTTTTTTTTCCTCTCTTTACATTTACTCACTTTCTCTTTTTCCTCTCTTTACATTTACTCGCTTCCAGTTGGGTTCTTTATATTCGCTTATGCGTAAATACTCTTTGGAAAGGTATGAATCCACTTCTCCTATTATTCTAAAAACTTCATTCACCCCAAAACTGTTTCGGTTTTAAATAATCTCAAAAATATCGATAAGCCATAAAAAACAAATCAATCAAAAACGTATTCCCCTTCCTTCTTCCCGCTTTTTTTTTTTTTTTTTTTTTTTTTGTTCTCTTTCCATTTCTTTCTTTCTTCTCTTCCTTCCTTTTCTTGTTTCTCGGCTTTTTAGGGTTTTTTTGGTTTTGGGGTTATTTTTTTCATTTTTTTTACTACTTTTTTAGCATCACCACTTTTTAATATTAATTCATTTTTTTCTATTATAATTTATCTGTCCTTTCTGCATTTTCTTCTTCCTTCTTTATTACTTTTTTCTTTTACTCCCTCCTTTTTTCTTCTTTTTCTTTCATTTCTTCTTATTCTCCCTCCTTTTTTTCTCACCATTTCACTTCCTCGCTTTCTTCCTTCTTTTTCCTCTCTTTTTTCCTTCCTTTTCCTCTCTTTCTTCCTTCTTTTTCCTCTCTTTTTCCTTCTTTTTCCTCTCTTTTTTCCTTCCTTTTCCTCTCTTTCTTCCTTCCTTTTCCTCTCTTTCTTCCTTCTTTTTCCTCTCTTTCTTCCTTCTTTTTCCTCTCTTTTTTACTTCTTTTTCCTCTCTTTTTTCATTCCTTTTCCTCTCTTTCTTCATTTTCTCTCCCTTTTTTTTTCTTTTTCCATCCTTTGTTCTGTCTTTTTTCCCTCTTCATTTTTTTTTCTCAGCCTTCTTTCTTGTTTTTCGCCACTCACCCTTTTCCTGTCTTTATTTCTCTTTTCATTTGTCTTGGTCATTTGAAACCTCTGTACTTTGGCCTTTCTCTCTTCGCTTACTGTCTTCTGCACTGGAATAAATAAATAAATAATCGTGTACCGGGAAAAGCTAGAAAATCAGATTGAGACAAAGAGCAGAGTTGAGGTGAACGCGAGTGGGTCGGTAGAATAAAAGCTGGAGAATATTCTGGAACAGACACGAACCTACCGAGCAGGGTCGCTATGACCTTGACAGCAACGGTTCTCGAGCTATAAAGTACATAGACAGATTTGATTACTCCTAGTTGACTAATCAACGTGAAGAAAAACTGAGGAACGTAACGTCAAGAGCACCAGAAATAAAACAAGAAGGGAAAAAAACCGCCGGCGATTTTCATTTCCGTTTTATTTTTCAGTCTGCTATCAACACAGAGAAAATCATCTTGGTCAGCATTTCTTTTCACTTAACTATTTGAGACCAGAAATCATCTCGGGATCAAGTGGCATCAAGGTCTTTAACAGATCTGATTTTACCAGGTGTTTCAAGAAGTAGAACTTCAGATAAACTTTTCTTTTTTTTTTACAACCATTTCACTTCAATCATCTAAGACGCAAGAGAGGTTACAAAGAGCGAAAGAAACTGAGAAAACGTTACCGGGTAGAAAGGACAATAAAAAGAACAAGATTCAGGGAGACATAAGATAGCAATTGTCGCTGCATTTAATTTTTTTTAAAGATCATAGTTGACAGGAAAGCAAAAAGCCGTAGTGAGTTCCGCAGTCGAGAAGTAGGCGAGAAGAAACTATTAACATTGAACTTACGGTTAGTAAGTAATTTCAATAGTAAAATGATGAGACCTACTTGCCAATCTAGTACAGTGGCTAAATTCGTAAAGTCGAGCTATCAAATAGGAAAACTCATCAGATAAATTGCCATGAAAATATTTATAGAAAAAGGCATAACAAATTTAGCAGAGAATATAAGGAAGTTGAACATAGAATAGGCTGCGCTATAGTTTCAACGAACACTGTAAAACAAAGATCCAGTGGCATCGAAACTTTGCTATGGATGTATTGCATAGTGTTCTAGAGAAATAATTATAAATGTTTTGAAGCAAATGAATCTTTTAAACACCCCCTTTTTTTTTTTTTTTTTTTTTTTTTTTTTTTTGACAAATGCACCTTTTTCACCATAAGTTATAATGTCATTGGCCCTTTCCAAGATTGTCCAAATTAAAAGGTGCATTCCAAATAATATGCATAGATTATTAAAAATCTTTATTATTTTCCATATTAGTACGTATTCATTTACATGGATTATTTTTATAGAAAAGTTTTACAAATTTAATAAGAATAGAAAATGTTTATGGATTATTAAGCTTGAATACAGTAATTTGTTTTAATTCATAACTAATTATTAACTTTTTGAGAGCATTCCTCTGACATCTAAAACACGTTTTGGTCTTGTGTTGAGGAATGAACATTCTGCAAATGTTGCTTCAGTTTTGTTGATTTCAAAGAATCATTTGACAAAGCTTAACAACAAAATACACACTGAGGCCTTTCTTCTCTATTGATGATGATGGATGTGAATCGGCACTGAATAAAAGATTCATCATACCATCTTTATTTTGACACTCATTATGAGCTCCAAACTCTGTCAATAAAAAAACAAGAAATTCAAAGATTCCGCCTCCCAAAATTCTCAAAGTCCCCCTCCTCGGGGGCATTTCATGATTGAGATCCCCTGCCTAAATCTTAACGAGGATGGTCCTGCATTGACTCAATTGATTGGCAATCTAAAATCACCAACAAAAATATTTGCCGAATAATAAAAGCCATATCACATTGGTACAATCACCGAAGTTAAGCAGCATCGAATATGGTTAGTGCCTAAATGGGTAACTGCTTGGGAATGCTAGGTGCTGGGTGTTGTAATGGATAACGAATCTAAGTTAGAAATCGGAGAGCCGAGTTCTAATTCCAGTCAGGTTCAGTCACATGCGCAAAGGTATGAATCGGCTTCTTTACCGCGCCCAGCTATGGGTTAAACAGGAAGGCTTGTACCAGTAAAGTTATTATTATCTGAAAAAAAGATTTTACAATCTAAAAAAATATTTTCCGTATCTGTCTATATTTCTGAGATGAGGTTATAATGTACACTATTTACCTTATTCGGAATATTGTCCTCATCTTTGTCGCCATATTTATTACAACGTTTCAGCCGGCCTTCTTCAGGTGGTTGGAATGTCGAACTGAACCCTTTATTTCGCTCACTGGGGTAGACTGTTCTAGTTCGAAAAAACTTATTCAAAAATTTGTAAAAAATATGTAAAAAAAAGAAAAACAATAAAAATTAAACAGTCGCCTGAATTTAATAAACCTTATTTAAATGAAATATATAAAAATATAATTTGAATGCATGCTATATTTATGAATAAAAGTGCTCAATATCAGAGACAGATCATATATAAATATAAAAGTAGACACTGAGACCAACACCGAGCGATGACAGTTTGTTTCATGCTTAAACGCAATCTTTAAGCCAGTCTGACGTCTATGTGCGTCCATACGTCACCTTGTCTATCTGTCTTTATTTTTACTTCATTCTCACCCCTTTTGCACCAGCATGGTGGGCTATGTCTGTTTCAGTTAAAATTACATGAACGGCCTGCTATATGGCTATTTTGAAATTGGGACTTTCTACTTTATGCCCCTGCACCCTTTTTTCTACTATTATTTTTATTCATTTTTTTCTTTTCTTTTTCTGATTCTTTGATTTTCTTTTCAATCTTTCCTTTGACCCCCCCACCCCCGGACTGTTTCCCTCTTCTCCCTTTCTTCGTTCCACGAGATTTCCTGTCGTGTGTAATTATTGTCATAAATTATTTGACTGCCCGATTATCAGGTACTTGCACGAGCTTTTTAAAACACTTAGAATGTACCGAAGACCGTTCGAAATTTTTGACAAGACCGGAAATTGAAAGTACCAGAAGCTGACCTACGCGCGCGCCTGCGCGTACACACACACACAATCACACATGAACACACACTTTGGTCACCGGTTAATCGGGTCATCTATTTATTTGAGCCAAATTTTGTAAAGCAAAAACAAATCAACTATATTTACAATAATGTCCATCGTTTATTTGGGTCAACAAGCCGTTTATTTTTGCCAGTGTGGACAAGTCAAAGTGATTTTTTTTTTCTTTTGCCGAATCATTTACCGATTCAGAGCCGGTGCGTACTACCCAACCCTGTTTGCTATCCCCGGGGAGTGCTTTCTGACCGTTTCTATCTTAACAACATTTATTTTTTTTCTACCACAGTTTTTATAGGTTAAAAATTAAACTAAGTACATCTGATTATTAAAGAATAGAAAATCTTCGCAGATTTTGACCTCATTCTGGGTCCCCTTTTTTGTCCAAATTTGTAAATTTGTTTTGCTCATGCTAAGTCTTGAAAAAATCACTATATAAAATTCACTATTTTTTATCTACAATTTTGGATGTGTTAAATTATTCAACTTTTTAATAAACATCTCAAACTGATGTTAAAATTTCTCGCAAGACCTTGATTTAATTAAGATGGAATGATCGATTATGATATGTCTAATTTGTACTTTGGTGCATTGTATTTATTTTCAATTTTTCTAGTGGAGTAATGGATAGCGTCTCGGACTGAGGAATCGGAGAGCCGAGTTCGAATTCCAGTCGAATCTATTACATTCACTTACGTGCTAATACCCTTAGGAAAGGCATGAATCCTCTTCTACTCCCCCCCACCAAGTTGGTTATAGAACCCAGAGACTGTGTTCTATAGTCTTGGATGGCAACTGGTCTACCGCAGAAAGAAATTGCAACGTACTGCAGGAAAAAAAATCTGTCTCGTCAGTCATGTATCGAAAGATGGCATATAACTGACTGACTTAGTTTTTGTTGTGTAGTCGTGTTATGAACAGATTTTAACAATAGGCCAAAAGTTTTGGGACCACCAACTAGATTTAATAATTAATAAGTTTCATACCTTCCTTGTTTTAATTAACTCTTATTAAAGTAGGATGCTGAAACTATTTAGCACATTAGTGCATAACGTTCCGTTTTTAGAGGTAAAATTTAAACACACGAGTCCTATGACAATAAGATAAATTTGGCAATAAGAGCTAAAATTTTAAGGAAAATTTATGCAAAAATGAGTTATTTTCGTTATTGTTACTAAATATATGATAAACTTTGCCTTTTCATTCCGGGAATTAAATTGCCACATTTCACATATTAAAAGATTCTATTATTTTATATGTTAATATATTTTCGTTGACGTTCTATAACCTCCATCAGTCTTTTAACTATTGATTTTTATTTTTCTACTATTTTGACTTGAGACTTACTTTAAGCAATTTTTATTACTTCACATATTCTATTCTTATATACATCTCTTTTAAATAATAAACCATAAGTTTTCTATGGGATTAATATCTGGGGAGCCGGGAGACTATTTCATTTGAAAACTTATTTGGCGAGGTTGACAATAGTATTATAAAGGATCATTGCTTTGCATTTATATAGACATTGACTTAAAGCTTTCCGGTTGAGAACTCTGGCTAACGTTATTTGCTGACCTGAAGTGGAAAGATTATATTCAATCAATCATTATGCTGTTAGGAAAATTGTTTCACTGTATCGTGTTAGACATTTTTCTCCAGAATCTATCTTACATATTTATAAGTCTACCACTCATCCATGCTTAGAATATTGTTGCCACATATGGTCTTGTGTTTCTGCTATATATTTAGAGATTATTGATAAAATCCATCTGCAATGTTATTGATCCTGACCTGACATCCCGGCTTCAGTCACTTTTCCACGGCCGTAATGTAACTTCCTTGTGCCTTCTCTATAAATATTTTCATGGTAATTGTTTTAATGAACTTTCCACTATGGAACCTAGACTTTATGAATTTAAGCGAAGTACAAGATTGGCAATAAGGTCACATCATTTATCCGGCATCTTATTTCCAGCCAACTTTGATCTTCAAAAATGTAAATGCAATGCCAATTTTTATTTCTGTCTTCTTGATTCCTCTTCTTTTATTTTTTCATTCTTTAATAATGTTTTTCTTATTCTTTTAACCCCCCCTTTCTGTCTTAGTGGTTTTATTAACTTGCTTCTGGTGAAATCATTAAAAACTGTACCAATTTAAAAAAAGAGAGAACTTATAATTCTCTACCTTTTATCTTGATTCCATCAAGTTTGAAGGACGTATAATTTTACTGATTACAACACAAACGAAAAACATTACATTTTCCTCTTGTTTTCTAAATCGATTTGGTTGGTTATTTCTATAAAATTTCTAGTCAACCATCAGATTTATCCAATATAGCTCTACATTTATCGTTAAAATCTAATGATAAAATAAATTTTTATCTATTCCTTCGCCTAAAATTTTTATATTTCTGTATGCGATAGTTGCGTTAAGAAATTGTAGTTTGGTTGTTTTCATGGACTAATGTCTTTAATATTCTGTAATTTTTCTCTATATTTGCAACATCAGCTTCGTCAAATATTTTCTTGCTGGTTATTTTAATCTTCTTGATTATTTTTTTTCCTCGAATCACTTAAATCCACTTTTTCTTGTGCTGCTGTTGCCAATGTTTATAATCTTTTTGAATGTTTAATAATTTTCAGGCTCCCCATAACTCAGTACCTTTTATAATACCTTGTTTCTTCTGTGAGCTTCTATTTTTCTTATAAGCTCACAAATGTCTGTGTTCTTTTTCGTTACAATGTACTAATAGTTCCTCTTCATTATTCATGGGCAGCTCCCCTTTTCTTAGGTAAATAATAATAATATAATAATAATAATCCTCAAAGCTGGTTTTCCCGGTTGCCTCTCAGAGTAAGTGGAGAAAACAGGGAGAGATTCTTTTGACATTTGTAGCCACACAGGTCTTTCTTCTTTTCCCGTCTATTTCCCACCCACGTTTGAGTTGGAGACACACAACAGCACCGACGCTGAACACCTCCATTTCTACATGGTCAGATGCCAACCACCGTCACAAAAATAGATGCTCATTATTTGTTTATTTATTTTATTTTTCATTTTTATAATGAAATTTGTTGATGCTGTGCCAGACTTGAGAGTCTTTCTATGAAATGAAATGAACCATTCGATATCAAGAGAGCGACCGATCGAAAGAATAGCTGAAATGCGTGCACACACACACACACACACACACACACACACACACACACACACACACACACACACACACACACACACCTTCCCCTTCACGTTTTTTCTGTCTCTCTCTCTCTCCGTTCGCATTTCTTCAGAATGCTTCTTTCAGCTTGCGTTAATTTTTCTCTTTTTCATTTTTTCTTAATTCCTATCTCTCTCCAAACACACCAGTCACTCTTTGCTTTTTTTTACTGATAGCTTATTCCAATCTCTCTATCTCTCCCCCTCCCTCTACTTTCTATATCCATCCCTCTCCCCCCTCTCTCTTTCTCACTCCTTTTCTCCTCCTCTCCCATGTTAATTATTCTCTCTTTCGCTATCTTTCTTTATCCCTATTCTTCTATCATTTTCTTTCTACTCGTCTCTTTCGGAACACAAATACCAATGCCTCTCATTGCTTATTCTCATTATCTCTCTCTCTCTCTCTCTCTCGCTATCTTTTTGCCATTTTCTCCCTCTCCCCGTATTCATAGATACCAGCAATTGCTTCGATAATTATAGTGGACGCGTAGACACTGATATGCCAAAATATTTTAAGACGACTCCAGTAATTCATTGTGGTCGTAGAGGCACCACATGTACTGCAGTCGTAGCAGAAGACTTTGGCAAGATACCGTGAGGGAGCCCAACCTTCTCCGGGTTGGTTTGAAATCAGTTTTTCTCCTCTTAGACTGGTTGCCAATATCCTGCTATATCGATGGGGGAGAAGTGATGGATTCATGCCTTTCCTCAATGGTATTTGCGCATAAGTGAATGTAAAGAACTCTAGTTCGAACTCGGCTCTCCATTTTCTCATTCCGAGCTACTATCCATTACGCCACCGAGTATCCAGAATATTGGATAAATAATGATTCTTGAAACCATCTCATCACGGCACATTCAATTTATTATCTTACTGAAAGACGCTATTAGCATCATAAAATATTGACATGATGATCATTACCTTGTCTTCATTATTGTTCGGCTAAACGATACATGTCAAATTACATGAACAGAAACTCACCTCTATTGGTTTGTTGCTTTCACGCAGTGCATTATGGTATCATCGCGTATCGATATACATTTATTCTAACGTCCATCTTTTTCATTAGAAAGCGATATTTCCTAACAATTCCGTTTCCGACGCCCGTATGTCTGTTGAAAACACTTTGAGCAACGGACATTATTTCACCTGGATCGTAGCGATGTATCTCCTTAAGCGACAAAGATCAATATACTGAGTGTTGTAATATACTCCTTTTTTCACCTTGATTCGAAATATTTACAAATTGTCACAGTAGTCATTGTTCCTCTATTCATTTCTCGCGTTGACAATATCAGCTGCCTAAAGTTTAGTAATTTTTCCGTTATTGAAAGACTGACGGCAAGTACTCACCACTGCTTAACACGTGCATCACGCAAGTCCTGCAATTTTAGAAATTCTCTAAAATACCGACATATAACAATTTCATCTTTTCCAAATTCGCTCAAATTATTGTTTCTGCCCATAAATGATATAGTGAATATATGAAAATGAAGAACACGAGGCTGGTATGTTTTAAATATCATATCCCTTCAGGATATATGCGATCATTAGCTCTCCTCAAACACCTTTATTTTATTATCTGTGAATTACCACGACTTGGAAAGCTAGTATTGTTCCCGTTATCTTATCTGCGGTTTTGAATTCAGAGTAGTTCTTTCTCTAGCTTGGCTGCTTTACTAGGTCTAGAGAGCCTATTCGACTGTTTAACCTATAGCTGGGAGAAGAATAGGTTGATTCATTCCTTTCCCGAGAGCATTAATGTGAAAGTGAACGCAACAAAATTTGAATTTTGCTCGCTGGCACCACTCCACTCGTTACTCTACCCGAACATTCATAGAATGATATAGGTCTGTATAATTCTGAAATATTTGTTAGTATATCATGACAAGCTATTGACATTCGTGCAATTTTAGAAAAAAAGACAAGATATTTCCGCGTCACCCTCGTTGGCTTACATGGTACCATCAGCAGAAACAAATTGAAATTTCTATATTAATCCTTGTTGCAACGCACTAATTAAAGTAGGAATTTAGTCCCAGAATAGACTGTAAGAAAATGCCCCGGAAATATATGGGTGCGACAGCTAGGAAATTAAACCATGCGCTTGGTGCATAGCCGTTCATCGTAATGAATCTGACCATAAATTTGACTTAAAGAATACAGTTATAATTTGAAGAGAAGATAATTTAATAATGCAAGAATCTATAAAAAGTGCACTAATTTCTGAGTCCTTCACGTTAAATTTCTAACCTGGATCATACAACATAACTTTTCTTAGCAAAACTACTGTTAATGCTATGCGGGGTATTTAAAAACAATAGTGAAGAGTTATGGATCTGTTTAGGGATAATTTCAGTAGCAATGATTCAACCCGAAAGTGTGTACGTACATTTTGTATTTGACTACGCCATTTTTCTTTTTCATTTCATATATCTACGCATTTTTTATTATCTGTTTGTGAGCGTGTTTCTGGGCAGTCAGTTACTTATGTGTCATGCGTGATGCACGGGTAGGCGATCATGTATCTTTCGATACATGACTGATAAGGCAGATTTTTTTCCAGCAGTAGGTTGCCATTTCTTTCTGCGGTAGACTAGTTACCATCCAAGACTATAGAACCCGATCTGTCCTGCTATTTACTCATAACTGCGGGGAGAAGAAGAGGATTCATACCTTTCCCAAGGGTATTAGCACGTAAGTGAATGTAATGGATTCGACTGGAATTCGAACTCTGATTCCTCAATCCGAGTCGCTATCCATTACTCCACCGCCTAGGCGCACACCTTATTTATATCATTTCTCTATGGCTGTCGCCCACAGAAGTCATTTGTAGGGTTTTGTGGCAGGATACGTCAATCAGATTTGACATTTATAGGTTTCATTCTAGACGAGCGATTTCTTTCAAGTTTATTTGTAACTGTGCTAAGCGATATATTTTAGTATTTTACGCAGTCTGATTTAGCAGCACGAATGTTAAATTCTATTCTGAGATTATAAAGAAATAATGGAAACAGAACAGAAAGAAAATCTTTTTTTAGATTTACGATCGTTAAGAACTCGATATTCTCTTCAAGATTTGAAATGATTTAATTTTATAATTAATTATTGGACAAGGAACGAAAACATATAAACTTAAATCTCAAATTTCTTTTTTTTTATATTAGGCTGAAACAACAATTCGTGAAGTTAGTTTTAATAGTGTGGAACCAATGTGTTTAAGACGTAAGTCTAACAGAAATTTACTAGATGACAATGGGGATGAATTGCTGAAACCTGTGATTGCAAGCGGAGACCTGTGATGGCGGACACTGAATATCATTGCTACAGAGCAGACGTCGTAACAGATACGACTTGTGGATTTATTGGATTATTGGGGTTCATTTAACAGGGGTGGGTATTTTCCATTAATGCTTGCATTCGAGGTTCAAGCCCATGTTAAAGCCTGGATTTTGAATGCCTTCTTTCAAAGAAATTAGGTCCTCGATAACTGAAAGATTTGTGAAACTCGATCTTTCAACTGTCGGCATTTTACATTGTGCTCGACAAAGCAATGTTGAGTTAATATTTTCAAGGTTCTTGGCAGTGTTTAATTTGTTAATGATTTTAAAATGCCACGTTCGTATATATTCATTGTTGGGTCTGACATGACATTATTAGATTACTTCTCTTTAGAAAGAAAAGAGCACTCGCATTCATACAATACGTGCGCTGATGTAGATATAGATAGAAAGATAGACATATTATTAGATAGAAATATAGAAACATAATGAGATAGATAGAGAGGGGCATAATGAGATAGAGAGGATCATTGTGAGATAGAAGCCTTATGAGATAGAGAGATAGAAGCTTTATGAGATAGAAACATAATGAGATAGAGGAATAGAAACATAATGAGATAGATAAATAAAATATAGATAGAGGCACAGATAATAGAGATAGATGGAGAAACATAGAGGGATAGACCAATAGACAGCTATGGACAGAAAAACTTGTGCAAGCCTGAATATTTGAAAAACAGTTGGATGTTTAATTTGTTCCTATTTTCTAATCACAATTTAATTCGATTAATTAAAAAGTAAGTTTTGAAAACATTATCAATTTTCCTAGCTAAGGTGATATTAAAAAACAACAACAAAAAAACACAGAATATTAGAATAGATACTGGTGTAACATTTTAATAAAATTTTGATTAATTTTTTTACTTACCAAAAATATATAATCATAAATTATACTTTTAATTATAAGTATTCACTTTTTTCTTTCGTTATGTGCACTTTATTTTTCTCATTATTAAATTTTTATTAATTTTTATTTTCCTATAGAAAAATCGCACTATTTACATTTTGTCTTCGTCTATTTCCTATGATTTGTTAACAAATATATTTTAAAACTTTATTAACTTCTAATTTTTTTCAAGTAGACCACATGGGTTTTAAGTAGCAGTGTTAGCATGGTACCGATTTTTTCTGAAACTTATAGTTGTTTTGATAATGCACGTTGAGAGCGAAACGTCAACTAGAATTTATCATATATATATATATATATATATATATATAATAGCTAGCCACTTGTATTCGATGATGCCCGTTACTAGGGCGGCTAGCGGCAATCCTTGTTGCAGACGATCGCCCAAGCGCATTTGAGTTTGTTCAACACCTATAGAGCCCTCCTTCAATTATGCTGAGTAGACCTTAGTTACAGTTTCTGGGAGAGAGCGTGTTGTCTAGCTCTCTAGATAAACAATCAATAATCTGAACACGGTCAGCACGTTCAAACCCTCGGTCACGGTGACTTGTGACTTCGTGCAAGCACAGCCATCGACGGCCCTTAAGGGTTCCGTTTACCCAATTTCACTCGCAAGGCTTGGATGGTGTGGTTCTTCAGGCACTTTCTAAATGTGACGCAAGCGGGGATCACCCCACCCCTAATTCTTCAGACCGATAACCTCATGATATCTCCCTCCTGACAATTCGACCATGGTGAGATTCTCATGGTCAAAAAGCGAACTTTCTAACCACACGGCCACGGGCCTATATATATATATATATATATATATATATATATATATATATATATATATAAGAAAAATATACGGAAAAAACAAACAAAAATCCTAATATGCGATTATGCTGTTTTAATGTTAATATAATGTCAACGTCGGACGTTTCGGTCTAGTAGACCATCTTCAGGACATATTCATAAAACATAATTAACATTAGACTATATTTAATTCAACATGAAAAGACGATGGACATAAGAGTACGACTAATCAAAACAGATAACTGAATTTTTTCAAGATCAGCGTTCCGTTTCAATATGATCACGTCGGCGATTTTATGAAAACGTATTCCTAAAATAGAGTATTTTGAATGAATGTTTTATGAATATGTTCTGAAGATGGTCTTCTAGATCGAAACATCCGACGTTGACATTATATTAACATTAAAATAGCATAATTGCATATTAGGATTTTTGTTTGTTTTTTTCCGTATATTTTTCTTCATACTTTCGGTTCTATATCCATATATTTGCTTTATATATATATATATATATATATATATATATATATATATATATATATATATATATATATTGTGTGTGTTATTTTAGTGGATACACATGTTTGAGGAGACATTTTTTTTTCTTTTCAAACAGAAATGTCCACCGGCCAAGACATAGAATGATTTATCAAATCTGAATTCTCTCATAGTGAGAAGACACTTTTTCACCAGGCGCAATTGACAGTACTGTCACAGAGGTCTCTAAAGCAAAGGAAGGCTGAAATACTACTTTTAAAAAAATGCGCAATTCTTGTTGAAATTTTTACATATGTCATCTACTAAAATAAATTTTATAGCAACGAAAAATACTGTTGGATCATATATATATATATATATATATATATATATATAAGGCCTGCTAAGCTATTCATTCTGGTAGCTTTAGAATCTTATGTACTGCAAAATATATAGTGTACAGGTATGGGAGTGTATATGTGAGGGAGAGCAGAGTAAAATTTTATAATGCATTGAAATGGGCCACGTCGTTTGTATATAGATTAACTAAACAAATAAACTCTTCAGAGAGAGATTTATATATTATTTTCTTTTTGCCGTGTTCCTCGACACCACCCACCCCAGTTACTCCGTTTCCCGTCCATTGTGCTACGAAAAAGACCATTTCTTCGAGGAGACCTCATTCACTGTGTCACTCAGTATCACTAACTGACGGGGTCAGTAATGTAGGGTGGGGTTGCCTTGCGAATCGCCTTCTGTATCCGTTTTCCTTACCCTCCGACACTAGACCAGGCGGCTCCCCCAGAGTGTCCTTGTATTAAATAGCCCCATTGATGACTAAATAAAGGACACCAGATGCAAAGGAAGAGGACAAGGGAAAACGACTCGTAAGATGCAAACGCAGTATTCAAGACACACTTGTTCCTCCACTCGGACACACGTATTGTAATGTAACGGTGGTGTATTCAGATGCTAACTGTTTGTTCTTGCCTGTGTCCAATTTGTTAATGATTGTTAAATGCCACATTGGAAGATGTATTCATTGTTGGGACAAACATGACATTATTAGATTACTTTTATTCAGTAGGTAAAGGACAGTTATATTCATAAAATATGGGTGGAGATAGATAGATAAATATAGAGAGAGATAGAGAGACAGAGAGATAGATAAATATAGAGAGAGACAGAGAGATAGATTAATATAGAGAGAAACAGAGAGATAGATTAATATATAGAGAGTTAGATAGGTATGATCTGACTGAGATAGAGATTGGAATTAGAAATGAATAAGCCGAGTTACATAGAGAAAGATATGCGGTGGTGAGATATAAAGAGGCTTATATATATATATATATATATATATAGTAATCCGTTGGTATAATCCCGGCGAGTCTTATTAACACAACATAGGATTTGAAATATGTTACAACTGACCCCCAAAAGATCGCTCAATATTTATTTGCATAAAAACAGAGCAAATCTTCTTTACAACTGGAATTAAGATACCTCTAGTAAATGACCATTTTCACCTACGAATTTTAATTTTAAAATTCGCAGGATTTTTCAAGTATAGTTTATAGTACAAACTGTTACCATAAACAGTTTGAAAAATCCTGCAAATTTTAAAATTAAAATTCGTAGGTGAAAATGGTCATTCACTAAAGGTATCTTAATTCCAATTGTAAAGTATATATATATATATATATATATATACTGAGAGAGATTTGTTGATATGAACAGACTGAGATAGATATAAATAGAATGAGTGAGGTATAAATAGGCTAAAATAGATGGATATAAATGTATGACCAATTGGATTAAGGTTTTTGTGTGAGGCGTTTCTTCCCTAATACGAAAACCTTTTTCCATTTTGTCTTATCCAAAACTGTTCTCGATATATAAAAATTTATACATTCTTATCCCATAGACAAACAAACTGATAGATCGATAGTTAGATAGATATAAATAGACTTTTATATGAGAGAGAAAGAGATACATAGACACGAATAGATAGATAGATAGATACGAATAGACTGAGATAGATATCAATCGACTGAAATAGATCGATAGAGATACACACATAAACTGAGATATCTATATACATAAATATGGAAAGATTGATTGATGGACGAATACATTGATACATTGCAGTACTAAGGGTGAATAATTAGACAGTGAGATTGGAACAAGAACATATCATTCCACACTTCCGAACAAGAGAGATAATGATAATTACTGTGTCAGAGACAAGGGAGAGATATTTTATATTGAAATTCTTAAAATTTTTCAGCCTCAGACACACGTAATATCGATCCGCAGGCTTATAATCAAATTAAATAAATAGTCAGCCTACGCTATGCACGATTCGAAATGACTTTCGGCAAACAGATAATAAAATTCTTCTCTCCGGCCTTTTTTTTTTTTTTTTTTTTTTAAGCATTACGCCCCGAGCAAGGCGTGAAGCCACTAGGATGCAGGGGGTTGCAGAAGATTTGGAGCAAGAGCAGATAGGAGTGATAGAAGAAATAATGAGGAGAGGGATAGTGGGTAGATCAAGTTAACTGGAGGTGTCGATTGACATTACATTTGAATAGTTGGAGATTATAGCTCTCAGGGAAACAGTAATTGAGAAGGGCGTTCCACAGGCGAGAGGTGCGAGGTATGAAGCTATTGGAGTAGAAGAGACGGCTACATTTAAAAGTTTCTACAGTGTAAGGGTGGGAGTGGGATGCCAGCCTCGTAGGGCGCTTGAATTCATGGAGTCTGGGAACCAGCAAAAGCAGCTCATCGGAGCAATTACCATGAAAGTATTTGTAGAAAAGACAGAGTTGGCTTGAAACCATGTTAACCCAAAAAT